ATCTCCTGTGGTAATGGTACTCTGACAATTGTGAGCCAAGCATAATTTTCTGTCTCATCTCTCTGCCCGATGGAAATATGTCATTAAATAGTTAATGAGTTTTAATCTAAACAAAACCTTTTTAAACTGTGCTTTACTCCTCAAAGTTTTAATCTAGTTGATAGTTAATCATTAAATCTTTGAAGTTAGTTTATTGATGAGAGAACTTACCGTTGTCTCAATAGGGATGTGCGAGGTCACCAGTACTGAGAATAAAACAATAAAAACATAACATGAGCAAAATGTTAAGTTTTTTTTATTTATTTTTTAACTATTCAGTAATCACATGTTCTAGTACTTACCAACATGTGCACAAACAATGTGTTGTCTGGTAATCTGAAAAGGGGAGAAAAGTTATAACCGGTTTGAGTTTTATGGCATTAAAATAAAAATTGATGCAAAAGAAAAGTGATGTTTCACAGCATTTGTGCTGATTTTCAATACCAAGCTGTATAGAGCTAAATGCAGCTGTAAATATTATGCTGAGCAGACAATGACCTGGGATTAATTTCACAAAGCAGGTTTAACAAACTCAGATTCAAATCCGCAACTCTGCATTGATCTGGACTAAAGTCAGGAACACCAATTTTGTTCAGTTTCAAAATGGCTGCTATTAATTAGTTCAATGAAGTCTAAGTAGGTTCAATCAGAGTTAAGCGAGTGCGTAACAAGTTTTAAAACATCAGAAAGTGCCTATTTCACCCCACTGGAACTAGAGATTTTAATGCAGAAATGAAAAAAAAAACTAAATGTTAAAAAAAAAAAAAAACTGAGAAACAGAGCTACAGCTGTGGAAGAATAATAGTCAAAATTATACAAGTAAGAATTAAGTTTTATACCTCGAAATGTTTACACATTCTAAGTGACCATTCTGACATTTATCAGCTTATTGGAATATGTACTTATGAGGTCTGAAATACATTTCTCATAGTCAAAACAATGAATAATGTAATACAAATGAAGACCAGTAACAGTAGGACTATGGACATCTGAAATTAATTTCTAGAAATCTAGAATATTTTTTT